CTTCCCTTTCCCCTCCCCCCCCCGCTCGCCCGGGGGAATTCCACCATGTGACCGTTTCTGACCGAGGATCATAGCATATATGACCAGAAGCCATGAAGTAAGATGTATCACCTATCTCTATCTATATTTCTTCTAATTCTATAGCATATATATGTCTATTTCTATTTGTATTGATTACACACAGACTACCTAAGATAATATGTATAATTGTATATATAATTATATATATAATTATATATATAATTATATATATAAATAATATAATTATATATATAATTATACATATAATTATATATATAAATAATATAATTATATATATAGTAATTACAGTAAGTACAATGAAACTCAGAAGTAATATCATCCATATAAGAATTTCGAAAACGGAAAGAAACGTTTCGGAAAGGGGGTAATAAACATGCCAAAAAGGGAAAGAATTCAGGGCCCTGATTTTGTGAACTCCTTTCCTCCGCTCTTCCACGACACACACACACAGAAGTTTCGCCAGGCAGTTTCGTTTTCGTGACAGATGGAAGTTTCACCTGATCTTTCATGGCAGTTTCGTGACAGATGGCAGTTTCACTTGAAGTTTCATAGCAGTTTCGTGAACTTCGTGTTCGAGAGAGTTTGTGCAAGTTTCGTCGCAGTTTCGTTGAAGTTTCGTTGAAGTTTTTTCCTTGAAGTTTCGCTTCCGTTGAAGTTTCGCTGAAGCTTCGCTGAACGTTCGCTGAAGATAGTTGGCGTTTCGTTGAAGTTTGGACCGCTCCTCTTCAGTTGCTCGGTACTGGAACGCAACTGCTACGGAAGGAAGTTATAACGAAACTTCAATAAAACTTCAATGAAACTGCTGTGGGTGTGCATGTGCGTGTGCGTGTGCGTGTGCGTGTGTGCGTGTGCATGTACTACGCACTCCCTTCAGTCGAGCACATTCATTACTGGAACAAAAAACATCAACTTCAAAAAAAAAAAAAAAAAAAAAAAAAAAAGACAAGACAAGACAAGACAAACTGGATGAAGGATTAATTACCTGAAACTTGTTATGGAGTGATTTGTCCTTCCTTCCTTGCTGGAACTGATTGAAGCTCACCACAGAGAAGAATCTGATGTCGTCACTCTCTATGAAATGAATGCCGCAGCGCAAACGAACAAGAAAAACAACACCACAATCAACAGGAGTGAGTGCAAATTCCATAAGATGGATCATTAAGAACAACAAAATCTCCGCCCAACCATAACATAAAACAGTTGTAAAAAAGAAAGGGAAAAAAAAAAAAAAAAAAAAAAAAAAAACAGTAGCCAAAAGATCGAAAACCGACAAATGGTTGTGGATCGCGAAATTAGTCTGCAAACGACAACAAGTAGGAGAGCGAACGAGTTTGCTGCATCATCATCACCACATCATCACGTTGAGTATTCCTGACTATCGGCCTCGCTACACTGCACAACCTCTCTCTCTCTCTCTCTCTCTCTCTCTCTCTCTCTCTCTCTCTCTCTCTCTCTCTCTCTCTCTCCGGTTCGATATCCCTTTCTGGGTGAGTGATGTCTCTCTCTCTCTCTCTCTCTCTCTCTCTCTCTCTTTTCGGGGTGAGTAACGTTCCCGCTTTTTCTCTGACTATGCAACGGCAGCTTGCTCTGCCCACTCGCTGGCTCGCTTCGATCGACGCCCTACTATCTTCACCCAAATAGAACGCCCAGTCATTGTCTCTGAATTTGGAGCACCTTTTAGTCCAGATACAGCGAAAATGACCAGGGAGTCTATTCGGGTGAAGATAGTGTTCCTCCATCACTCCTTGCACTCTGCCACGTGTCGTTCGCCCATCGCCACTCCTTTATTTATTCGTTTATTGTTTTTGTTATTTATCTTTTCGTTCAATTATTCAGCTTTGGTAATACGCATGTAATCCCTCACTGGCCGAATTCCGTGGTAACTTGTCCAGAGCCCAGTGCAAAAGAAGAACCTGGTCCAAAAAACGGACCTGGTCCCACAGCAGGAATTGCGACCATAACAACGAGCCTGGTCCCAAAAAAATGAACCTAGTCCAAAAGAACGGACCTGGTTCAAAAGAACGAACCCGATCCGAGAGAACGAACCTCGTCCACACGAACGCACCTGTTCCAAACGAACGACGAGGTCCAAATGAACGAACCAGGTCGGTTTACCAGGTTCACGCAACCAGGTCCAAAAATGGTTTACCAGGTTCACAGAACTCAATGCTACATTGAGACACAGAACGAAATGTAATTTGCAGGCATTGGCTGGGGGCCAGGGGGATAGGGAGAGAGCTGGAGGAGGGGGAGGAGGAGGGGAAGGGGGAAGGGGAGGGGAAGGGGGAGGGGAAGGCGCAAGGGAAATGAAAGGAGGGGGAGGGGGGCGGTAACGTAGACTTGCTGGCAATGCGCTGCGCCCCCGTAACGGTCGTGCCTGCAAAGAGGCGGAAACTTTTAAGAAAAAAAAAAGAAAAGAAAAATAAAAACAGCGATCAATACAAGCAATCAGCGCAGCTATCACAGGTGATTGCCACGTGATGGGGGCGTGCCTGCTCAACATGCCACGTGGACTCGTCTCCTCCCCTGTCCGTAACCATACTTACCACGTGCATTTTGCTAACGGCAGGAAACCGCTGTTAACACAGTATGTTTGCGCAGAGCTAGCAGCATAAACCTGGCCATTATGACGACCAGATTCATGCGTTCTGAGCTCTAACCTGGCCTTACCACGAGTACTTTTTTGCTCACCTGGTCATTCTGACGACCAGATTCATGCGTCCTGAGGACTAGCACGGCCTTACCGCGAGTATTTTGCTCACGGTTCGGAAACTACTGTCGATTGGTGCCAGGCGCCTACCGGGTAGTCCCATTAGCAAAGACGATTGGATTTAATTCCTGAACCTGGATGTGTTTTTCGCAGAGATTCAGAAAGCAGATAAATCGCAATTTTCCGCATCTTTCCACAAACATGTTCAGATTCAGAAGTTAAATCCAATCCTCTTTGTTAATGGGACCAGGCCCCAGGTGCGGAGAGGGAGGAATTTTTTTTTAACAAAATGGAATGCAGCTATTGATGGAATCCAGGACAAGGTGCCTTTTTTGGGGGGCGAAATTGCATCTGTACCCCTCGTAAAGATGGGAATACCCGATATGCCCACAGGCCCAGAGCCGACTTGCATCTATACCCCGGAAAACAGCTGGTGGAAATTATTTGCATGCCCAGGAGCAGGGTCGGCCCAGATTGGTACCGCAAAAATTGCACTCATAACCAACTACCCGAATGCACAAATTATGGACATACCCATGCATTTTTTTATTTAATTTTTTCCCAGGCAAAGTTCTGGGCATACCCAGGACTGAGGTGGACAGGCCAAATTATTGATTTTTATTTATACAAGTGGACCTACGGCAGCTACTCTGCTCTGCGGCGAAGGACGGTGACAAAAACATTTTGCAAAACACCCCAGACATCAGTTGGACCCCATCTTTGCAATGTACCCATACCAGACACCGTCCAACTTTGCAAAATGTCCCTGTAGTTGTCAACTTTTCGTAGGTGTCTCTTTCTCTCTCTCTCTGTCTCTAGGGAAAGGATTTCTCTCTCTCTCTGTCTCTAGGGAAAGGATTTCTCTCTCTCTCTCTCTCTCTCTCTCTCTCTCTCTCTCTCTCTCTCTCTCTCTCTCTCTCTCTCTCTCTCTCT